GTGTGTGTGTGTATGTATGTATGTATGCATGCATGTATGCATGTATGTATCTGTGTCTGTGTGTGTTACTGTGTAAATATATATTCATGTTTGTAGATTACTTTGTCTGTAAGTTCGTGGCTGGTTCATGGTGATTGATTTCAATTTACTGCTAATCTTCAATAAAATACAATGCACTATCCCCTATCTGAATAATATCGCATTCGGTTGTTTACTTCGTTAGGTTTGAATAGATAAAACGCAACATTATGAAAAAGTAAATAGATCGCGCTTTGAGTATTGTTTAGAGTTCACCACATTTTTTTTCCAGAGAAATTACATCACATTAATCTTGCTGTACTCTGCAATATATATCTGTCTCCGTTTTCCGTAGGCCCCGGCCTTCCTAGTGGCTTTGCAACAGAAACACGACCCGAAAATATTAGCGGATCGTCAGAGGAAAGCTGATCTCCAGAGGTCGAAAGATGATGATAGGGAAGATCCCAATCTGGAAGATGAGGTAGGCGGAAACGAGTGTGTTCGCTGAGACAAGTCTTTAGACATGTATATGGAATACAATACGCATCTATTGTACGTACGATAAAAACAATTGCCGATGAATATGAAAGATATAGCGAGATGGCAACTATTGGCAACTATTCATCACTACGTACGGTCAAAACACCGAAGTCATCTATCTGTCGGTCGCATCTGTTAATGTTCGGATTGGTTTACATGGGCCTGATGTATGACCAGTATGGGCAATTAATGCTATGGCCCTATCGCTATTCAACATTCAGCATAATTAGATCATACTTGTATAGTAGTATTGCTTTATCTGTGTGTGGTATACCTGCTGTTATCAGGGTATCGTCTCATACTGCCGCTTGTGAATACAATGCTTTTGGGTTTTGCGTCTATAGTGACTGGTATGTTAACCTGACCACGGATACATATGCATGTCTTCACCCATCACGTCTGAGTCAGTCACTAGTAAATTCGTACATGTTCGCAATATAATACATGTATATATATATATATATATATATATATATATATATATATGTGTGTGTGTGTATGTGTGTGTACGGTATTATTTGACATACGCGATATTTGAACTTACTTCGTATCAAAGTGTTGCTATGTAAGCAAATGGATACTTCTTCGCAATACACATTAGATGAATTCCACGTGTCCAGAAGTAGAACCTATACGACCATAAACGCTATATGTGTAAATGTCTGAAGAAGAAAATGTTTGATAGTCTTACCTGGCTTCTACGATGCACGCCTATATCATTGAAATCACCAGTGTAGATATGTTGTACACCAGGCTATCATATTGTTTATAACTTCTATTACGACTACGTAAAAGCAATCGCAACTTTATAGGCGCATTGATGGCAAATACACTTGTAAGCCTATCTGTACACGAATCTGTATGCTCGTGGGTATAAATTATATACTTCTCCATGCGTCTATTTGTGTATGTGTACGTGAGCACGTTTCAAACGCTATTCGTCAGATTCCTCGTATACATATTACCTCACGACTATCATTTGCCCATCATCCCATGCCCCTGTGTCTCCACTCTCTAATGCTGTACATCCTCACAGGCACCACTTGTGGTACAATTGAAGGCGGGTGATCTGAGTGCCGATCAAGCACAGGCTGTCAAAGACGGCAAAGACCCGGACGATGAGCCGCAGACAACCCACATCCGCAAACGCACCGGCACAGAAGATGGTATGTGTCTGTCAGTGTTTATCTCATTGTATCGAATAGCAAACCTTTTATAATGTACCAGATGTATGTGTGTAAACTGTGCTATATATGTGAAATCAGAGTGTTCAACTTCTGAGCACGCATGCGCGGTGTGGAGTCATTTTCGGCATCGGTGATTGGCTAGTTGTGTACAATATACTTGCGTAGTATTTAGGTGCATATAACAATGTATGTAGTAACTCTGTGCATACACCTATTGGTAGTAAGGGAAGCCAGCGCGGATGAGCATGAAATTCGGGAAAGTGATACAGACGGAGAGGGGGGTGTGAAATTCAGGAGGCCCAAGGCGAAAAAGATCAAAACCACTGCTGAAGCAACGGCTGTTGGGACGAGGAAACCCAGGGATAGCAAGGCTACGGTCGACCCGAAAAAGCGCAGCAAAGTCAAGAAAATAAAGAATACGTCGCTTCTGTCCTTCGAGGAGGATGAGTGATCAGAGTGTTATATGAAGTGATAGGCCAGCAAGACGGGTTCAGTGTACGTTCTCTTCATGAAACCGGATGTATCTGTTCGCTATGTTAAAGTGCGTCTGGTTACTACGTCAGGCAGTGCGGGGCGTGTGTTCTAGATAGAGTTCTGGCACTTGCACTTGGAATTGGGGTTTAAGGTTTAGGGTTATATGGTTTAGGGGTTCTCAGGCAGTGCATGACGTGTGTTCTGGATAGAGCTCTGGCACTTGAACTTGGAATTGGGGTTTAAGGTTTGGAGTTTTAGAGTTTAGGGGTTCTCAGGTAGTGCGGGGCATATGTTCTAGATAGAGTTCTGGCACTTGAACATGGAATCGGGGTTTTAAGGTTCTAGGGTTTAGGTGTTTTCCTAGTGCGGGGCGTGAGTTCTGGATACAGCTCTGGCACATGAACTTGGAATTGTGGCCACAGCAGATACTTCACTGTACGTGATGGATGGTGACCGAGGATGGGTGCATGCGAACCGTTTCCTTTGAGTGATATTGCAAGTTCTATTACCAGATACCTGCCAACGGTTTGCTACAGTAGACGTGGGGAACGCACTCGCGGTATATGAAGTTGGAGCGGTTGATAGTCAATGTGTTCATGCCGGTTGAAGATTGAATATAGGCATTTGATAGTATCCACACGCAGCTAATCTTGTCGCCTATGCTTCAGATGAGTGTGATAGGTGTAGCAGATATGATACACATCTACATCAGTGTGTTCTTGCATCAATAAGGAGGTGTGCGTATGTAGATATGTATAAATGCGTGAGTTTATGATCACCTCTATACAACTGCAACCCCGCATAACATGGTCGACTAGCCAGCACTAGTCTTCAATAGTAAACGCCACAAAATAAATAAATATATCGAACTAGAGCTCAATATGAACTCTTAAATATGCGGACATGTCTCACTGGGTATTCGATTAAGTTTCGATAGCGAAAACATCAATGACATGAATTCATATGACAAGCACCCAGTATAAGAGGGATGGGTTCCCATTTCTTCTAACAAATGCACACATACAGTACAGTATGATTTATGACTATTCCTTGATAGCCTATCAGCCCATCTCCTCGTGGTAGAGGGTTAGGACACTACCAAAGTTACCGAATGCATGACACAATGTTTCGAACAAGCTGGCGGGAGTCCCTATTTTATTCAAGGTTCGACTCGGATAGTCCATGGCTACGTGTTCATGTCGTACTTCTCCAAAAATCAGACACTGTAACCGATTAATGAGCCCCGACCAATGATCTCGCCAACAAAGAACCAGCAGCCGATCTCGGCTACCAGCATGGTGTTGGTGAGAGCAGTTTTGACGGTGCAGTTTAGATAGTCTTTGTTCTTGGCGGACTCGATGAGCTGTCAGGGGTAATGACATATAAGATACAGGACTGTGTCAGTGAATCTGTGGGTAATTCTGTTATGTACAAATATCACATACACGGGCTTGTTTAAGGATCATACCTTCGGCACATGGCCTACGCAAGAGTGTGGTCTCGACGGGCAGTCCGATTTGACGTTAAATGTACAATACAATAATGTATGAATGCATGAGCAAGACATCTCAGTACCTTTTGCCAGGAATATACGGCGCCGTTAGAAGCCGAAATATGTACACGTCACATCCTACTATAAACTACATAGCACTAAACCAGACTCTACTTTAAACAACCTCACATCAGACCACACTTTCTACTATGATGATCAACCCACATTCGCGCTTGCAAGTGTGTTTATATATACCGTTTCTAGTATAAACATCATACCTTCAGACCAGCGGTCTTTGCCTGGGGCCAAGTGTCCATGGCGGGGGGACCTAGCTCAGTCTTGATGGCAGGCCATGCGCGCGCGACCCTGCTAGTAATAGGAGCACCTGATATATCGCAGTTGTACGCAAAGGTGTGAGTAATATCCATATATGTACATAATATACATATATAAATACATACACACCACACACACATAATATATATATATATGTGTGTATGCGTTATGATATATACATATATATACTACTGGAATGGCCACGTATACTTAATTCATTCTAAGGTTAAACGAGGTATGGTTCGGATGCATGAACTGATAAAATCGCAGTCTCTCATAGATATGCATCTCAAATACCTAAATACATGGGAAAGCTCTCAGGGAAAATACGATTAAACTAAGGCTTTAACATAATGTAGGGCATCAAACGGGCAGTAAGGATGGCGTACTCGAAACAAAACAATACAGCTTTAATTTGAAATAGTACAAGGCTAGTAGGAAAGCAGGGCAGACGATGTTGGCTCTATAAATAGAAGACTGAACATTTCAAACACTTCACATAAAAGGTGTCAAGGCAGTGCCTAAGTAGAAACAAGCGGAGATTGAAACTTTCGATTGAAATTTAACGGAAAACACCATCAAGAACACGGATAAAAAAATGGTGCGGCAAACGTGAAATAATAGCAGGTGAAATATCTGGATATCTTCTCGTCAAGTAAAAATTAGACTAACATACGTATACATTTACATATATATTTAAAAATAATAAATATATGTATGTGTGTGTATATAGATATAGATATATATATATATATATAAACATATATAGATATATAAACATATATATATAAATATATGTGTGTGTGTAAGATCCGTATATGACATATGTATGTAGAGATATAAAGATATAGATGTATGTAGATCTAGAGATAAATAACAAAATATAACTATACAAATATAGATGTACATACATATAAATATATATTTATGTTTTTACGTACACGTACACATACATATATACATACACATAAACACACAATACATATACATAAACTCTTGCAAATATATACACATATACACTTACATAAAATATATTACTAGAATAAAACAAAAAAAGAGCTATATACTCCCAATTATATGTATGAATATGTATTAATCCAGGATTGGCAGGTGTATGCACACGATTATGACCTAGAAAATGGGGCACATGGTTGAGACATACTGTTCTTGGTAACCAATTGGGCTGCCTGTTGGGCTGCTTTTTGCGCTGCTTGTGCCATTTTGTATATAGAACCTGAAACAAAGGGGTAAGCAGAAAATAAGTATAATATACTTTTAGGTGTATATGACACAAAAAAAGATAAGTTTAAAACACATATTTTCATATTAAAAAGTATGAATAAACATATACAAAAAATGTATGTATCCTTACTCATTCATACGTTTAAAAATATATATACATAAATAAGTATTTATGTATGTACGTAAGCATGTAAGCATGTATGCTTGTATGTATGTGTATATGTATTTATTCATATACATCATATGTATGTATGTGTGCATAATTCCTTGCTAGCCTGCTTCCATAATATGATATGTATACAAATATATATATGTATATATATATATATATATATTATATTATATATATATATATATATATATAATTATATATATATATATATATTTATATATATA